GGACACTCTTGTGGGTCACTCTTATGGGACACTCTTGTGGGACACTCTTGTTAGGGCACTCTTGTAAGACACTCTTGTAGGACACTCTTGTAGGACACTCTTGTGGGACACTGTTGTGGGACACTCTCGTAGGACACTCTTGTGGGACACTCTTATAGGAGACTCTTGTGGGACACTCTTGTGGGACACTCTTGTGGGACACTCTTGTAGGACACTCTTGTGGGTCACTCTTGTAGGAAACTCTGGCGGGACACTCTTGTGGGACACTCATACGGGACACTCTTGTGGGACACTCTGTATCTGGGACACTCTTGCGAAACACTCTTGTAGGACACTCTTGTCTTGTGGGACACTCTATCTGGGACGGAGACTATTGTGAGACACTCTTGTAGGACACTCTTGTGGGACACTCTTGTAACGTAGGACACTCTTCTGGGTCACTCTTGTAGGAAGCTCTTGCGGGGCACTCTTTTTGGACACTCTTGATACCACCTCACCAGCGACACGCCGCGTTTACACCAGCCTGTTTCGCGCTCCCCAGTGGCACAGCGCCACGCAAACGCCTTTTCCACCAAGGCCACGCTAACGCCAAATGGCACTGCAACATCGTGCACGTCGTGTCGCCACACGGTCTGCCCATACCCTAGAAGCGTTTCGCGCGAGACGTCCTCCAAAAGTCACGCGCACAGTCTGCAAAACGAGCGTTTCGTACGAGACTCCTCCAAAAGTCACGCTTCGAGTCTGCAAGACGAGCGTTTGGTACGGGACTTCCTCCAAAAGTCCCGCATCAAGTCTGCAAAACGAGCGCTTCGTACGAGACTTCCTCCAAAAGTCACACGTCAAGTCTGTTTTCCTCAAAAGTCAAGCGGAAACACCCATCGGAGCACACACATCACGCAGCCCTGCCAAGCAGTTTCGCGACTCCAGCCCCTCCAAACAACACCCGCTCACACGCCAATCCCAATGTCACAGCGACATTCACCTCTACCACAACTCACAACCTCACGATTCCTGCGCCTGCCACGAATCTTTCCACGTCCACACGTCTAACGCGCACAAAGTACTGCGCCTGCCACGAAACGTCACCTCCGGCACACCTCGCAACTTCACGATTCCCTGCGCCTGCCACGAAAATCTCACTTCCACACCTCAAAACCCGCACAAAGTACTGCGCCTGCCACGAAAAGTGACCATATCATATCATTTGAGCTTCAACAAAATTTGCACCACACCACACGTTTGGAATGATTTCGACCCGTTCTGAGCACACTCCCATCCACCAAAATCGCCACTTCAGTCACGAAAACAGAGCTTCGATGCAACACCCTGAAATGCAAACCCCAATGGCACGGCCACATCCAACACCCCAAAAACACGACTCTCCAAACGCTAATCCCAATGGAACTGCGTAGCAAACTACGGATCTCATAAAATGCTGCGCCTGCGCAGTGAAATCATCCTCCACACTTCAACATCTTGCATTTCCACACGATTCCTCGCTATTTCACACGAATCTGACACGTCACGTTTTCATCCGAAACGCTTCCCCCAATGGCAGCGCCTTAGCGCTCTACTGCGAACGGTTGCGGACGGTTGCGGACGGTTGCGGACAGTTGCGGTTGCGAAACAACGGGTCGCGAACAAGGCTCCACCCCCAGACCCCCAGAGTTAAACGAGAACCCTTCGCTACGCATTCGGGAATAATAACAGCACATCCACACCAGCCCATGTGAGTAAAAAAAACCAAGCAAACAGCTCTGTCCGAAGTTCAGCCTGCTTGTCCAAGAAGTACATGACCTTAAATCTGATTCAAATCCATTCACCATAAGCGCTTTGATGAACCAGAACAACATATCATCAGCAAGTTTCAGTAAGTTTACCTAAGTTGTGATTTGCTGATAAATGTAGAACTACTCGATTGGTCTTGACAAATAAAATGGCGTATATAAATAGATGGGGATAGCTGGGGAAGCTGCCGTGAAGGAGATGAAGGTCAGGAAGCAGGCAGTGATTACCTTAGCCGCAGTGCTTCGAGCAGCTACTCCCACTACTCCACTAGGGTACTTTCTGCAATATCTTCTACTTTCATATACAAGTTTGCTCAGAACTCCTTCGAGGGCTTCTTTGCCTGAAACGCCAAGCATTCCCAGGAGCCCCGACATTGCCCAGAACACCAAACTTGGCGCCACCCATGGATCCAAGGGTCCTGCCAGCGAAAAGAAAGAAGGGCCTGAAACGGCCTGGCTGCGTGAGATCGACACAAGAGTCTGACCTACCTGAAGCGTCCTTGCTCCTAGTAGTACGGCCAGGAGCCCCTAGTAGCGTCCTTGTTCATCACAAGCACTTTGGAAGCAAAGCTTTAAACTTTCACGGACTGCCAAAGCGCCCGCAGGGTCATGATCCGGTCGATGCTGAACATGACCATCCAGCATGAGGAGAAGTCCGCGATCTCAGGAGGGCGGATCGTCCGCTTGAAATCAGAGTTTTGGAGGTCATTTTGGCTGTCAAAAGAATGTGTATATACCTGTGTACCCGAAATCAGCGGTGACCAATGTCCGGAGACAGTGCATCAAGCAAAGATGATACACTACACGTGAGGGCAATGATCGGGATACACTCGGCAACCCGGCCAAGCGAAGCCAAATGCTGTAGCGAGTATGCTTACTGGGCGGACGAAGAATGTTGTGGGGCATGAAATCTGACCTCTTGTGAAGGCTGGTCACTTGTGCAGGAACTGCACTTACAATTCCACCAAGTCTCGAGACAAATTGACAAAGAGCAGAGGCTTGACAGGGTGGTCATTAGACAGTTGGTTGTACTTGGAACCTGTGGACTTTGCAGCCAGCTAGTGGCAGCAGGATCCCCAATGCACAAAAGTAAGTTCAACCCTGTGAGATACTTGCGGCAGCACTCCACTCAGCCTCGTTCCATAGAGGGTCCGAAGGTACGACAAAATTGCAATCCTTGGCCAAACATGTCAGCAACAATCTCACATGCCTGGATTCGGTTACTCAACACCGAGTACCAGGTACCCTGGACTCCGTGGACAGTAGACTGGCTTGAAAGCATCCTGAACTAGTGCAAAATTGTTCTACCAATCTATCTAGACACATAGTGCATGAGAGAAACTGGATAAAGTCTAAAGAGGAGACCTGGAATACGATAAATATATACAGTATGTATATATATATATAGATATAGATATAGATATATATAGCCGCCACAACTAAAAGGCATATGTTTTGTTCTTCAGTCTTCCAACAGCCCACTCATTGCCGAGCATCGACAGACCTATGCCCAGCGATGTGAAAGCCTCACAAAGCCGTTCAAACTACCAGGCTACGGTGATGCTGTAAATAAATGTTTGTTTCCCAACCGCGAAGCTTTAGGGGTCTTCAGCCATAGTATAGACTTCGGAGCAGATCGGAGCAAGCTCTGGAGCAGGTTCCGGAGCAGGTTCAGTCCGGAGGAGGTTCCCGAGCAGGTTCCGGAGGAGGTTCCAGAGCAGGCTACGGCTACATGTTCGTACGGGTGCGCTATCACATGTTGTCAGTTCGTGATGCTAACTTGCAAACATGCTGACTGACTTGTTGTGCTTGCTGATATGCTAACATGTTATGCTGACAGGCTGAGGTGTTGTCACGCCGATGTGCTGGCATGGTGTCATGTTGGCGTGTTGAAAATATATAACAATACAAATATATATATATAGTAATTGGTGTCATGCGGACGTGTAGACACTTGAATATGTTGATGGTGTTGCTCCGACGTGTCGTCAGGCTATCATGCCTCCAAATGTGCTATGCCTATGTCAGCATATTGCAGTGTTGTGATGCTCGTGTGGCACATTGACAAACTCACATGTTTCGAAGCAGCATTGCCTGGCAGACGCAACACTTGTTGGTGAACCCGCGATGTTGCCATTGCCTAAAAGATGGATTCATGCCTTCTTCGGCTGGATGGGGGTGCAAATGACGGCTGTGTGAGTGCCAAAAAATGCACAAACATCGCAAGCATGCAACCAACAACAGGCACATCACAGACTATGTGCACCACAAGCCAACCCATGTCCTCCACGTCTTCACTCTTTCTTAGAAACCCACCTAGAGTGCTTTGCCTCACTCGTGGTGTGATAAACAGATCATTTTGTCTAATCGCAATATATCGCAATGCTAAGTCTTGTGGTCGGAAGAGGTTCTGCCCAAACCGAGTGCCTGGGAGAAGCTTGCGTGAAGGTTCACTTCCAGATTCCCTTCTTCATCCGGCAAGACCCCATAGATCCAAAAGCGCATGGTCCTGGCAACGCTTGGCTAGAAGCAAATTGCAAATGCTGTAAGGAACCACCAAGTCTGGAAATTTCGGACTCGCGGTCCAAACAGTCTGCTTTCTGGCCTGTTCAACACCCTGCTCTCCCGGCAACAGAAAACTTAGCAGCTTGTGCGATGTTCGTCGAGTCTAGTGACTTGTCTCTTCCGGCCGGATCCGGCCGGCCGCAATCGATTTTGAGCACCATCCAATTCTTTGAAGCACCCAAAGTGCTCCGGTTCATCAAGCAGCACCTCAAGGGCATCGACAAGACATGCAAGCACAGCTGCACCACCAAGAAGGAAAGCGTGAGGGCCATGACATCGTCTTCAGTCTCCTGGTTGCGGATTGTCACAAGCAAAGCAAAAAGCTGCACCCAGCCAGTCTTGCAACTCTCACAAAATCAATCGGTTGAATAGCCAACAAGTTGAGTGGATCACATCTATTTTCAGATTGAACAACATGTAACATGCTGCCCAAATCAAGGCATTGGCATCTCAACACCACCATTGTCAAGCATTCTCCGAAAGCCACTCCTCAGTGGCCTCATCCCAGGCCTCTTCCATCTTATCCTCGCAAAGGGTTTCAGCCAGGGATCCGCATCCATTTGGCAAAACGCTTCAGCTGAAGATCGCTTTTGCGGCCGGAGTTTAGATCGAGATTGATGCCAGTCAGGTGTAGGAGCGTCGATCTGCAGGTCCAAAGAAAAGGACCCTTTTGGTTAAAACCCAAAAAAGTTGAACGCAAAGAATGTGGCTTCCACTTTGGATGAAGTGAGCTTGGTTGAATGGAAGATGTGTGTAGAAGTGATGACTCTCGCCTTGACGCCATCGTCGACAAGTGCTACCCACTCGCGGACTATGTCCTGCAAGAGTCTGCCAATGAGCTCAGCGTGGAACAAGTCACTATCACTAAAATCCAAAAGGTTTTGGACTTTTTATGAGCCCGTATATCCAAAGAATTTGAAAATGTGTCTTCTCCTTCGATTCTAGGCAGAGAGCCACCCGAGCCCATGCCCTGATTGAAGGATGGACCAGAAAAAAAGAAGAGACGAGCTGACAAGACAAATAAAACAATTAAAGTTGCACTTCTATAATCCCTCTAACTCCACCCTCGTGTTCCCTGCCTGATGCACCCATGCGTCTTTTTTAATGCTGTGGTCACACTTCTTCACTTCTTCACTGTGACTCTTTCGTGCTCCCCACAAGGGCAAAATATGGCCAAACCATATACGACACAGATGCGTCTGCTCATTTTGCCAAATCGACCAAAACATTGCATGTTCACCCCACGCTGTGCTGCTGAAGCTCCCATTTCTTCAAGTGTCCACGTCCAGACTAATCAAAGCTGATTTAAGACTCCATGCTTACCGTGCTGCATACTTACCATCTATGTGAATGTGGTCCAACGAGTCCAATGGCAAGTCTTGCTTGTGCTGGGACCTCACAGAGCCGCCCTTGGCGCCTTTCTCTCAATCTACCTGCCCAGTTCTCCAAGTTGGACTCCCAAGCGCTCCGTCACTTTGAAGAGGCCCCAGAGCGAAAAGAACCTCAGCCAACTAGCAGGGGAGGAACTCTTCTCGTCACAGAAGCTAAGAAAGAAAAGTTGAATCGGTGAAAGTGCACCTGTCATTCTTACGACAAGAAGCGGAAGGCTTGTAATAGCTGTGATTCTATCAGCTTTATGTCATTGGAGCCTCCAAGAAACCCTGTCGTGGCAACTCACCTTAAAGCTAGGGACGGCAAACATCCCAAGCTGCATGACATTGATAAGCCAAAGAACAAAACACAGCTGAGGTTGTGTAAAAACCCCTCTACCTTTCCCTAATACCACTTTTGACGTTATCTGTTTTTCTTTCGTATCCATTTACAGCACTTTGACTAACTGCAACAAATGTGGTGTGTGGAACCTTGCGGACATGAATACATTAGGCACACTTCATTCCAACTACGCCCATGTGGTGGCCTGCCTACGGAAAGGTGTTTTAGGTTCCCTGTGTTCTGTTATCGTTTTTTCTATCATGTTGTTATCGTGTTCATGCCTAGTGCAAGTTGGAAAACCATGTGGCACAACAATGCTGTAGCACAAGGCTCTGTCCAAGCACATACCCACCAAGAGCAGTCATGCATTGACCCTAACAATTTGGAACAATAGTAGGTGTTCTGTTTGTGTGTGCAAGCATTTTCTTCACACCACTTCTCGCATGTCAAGGGTTTTCCACAAGAGTCATCGCGGGTTATCGTGTTGTTTCTTCCTTATCGTTTTACAGGGGATTGAGCATGCTTCCAGAAACACGGACATGCGAATACTAATTTCTTACACGGCGGGGGTTATACTCTCTCAGCTGCCTCAACTCCATATCCCTCCTCTTCTTCTTCTTCTTCTGTCTACGTTCTTTTCAGTTAAACTGTGTTCCTTTGCTCATGCGGCTACAGGCTTTCGCGGTGGCCCACTTCTGAGGTCAGCACGCTAGTGGCAAAATCAGCACCGAGCCCCCACAATAGGCTTGCAACTGCGTCCTGTCGCTGCATCATGCGGGGGCATGTTGAATGTGGAGCGGCACAGAATATCAAGCCACCTGGAAAGGAAAGGCAATGGTCAAACGTCAAACGGCTTTGAGTCTTGAGGCATACCCGTTTTGGGGGGAATTTGATATTGGCTCTTCAGAACGTAAAGAGCTGGTCAGGGGTAAAACAAGGGGAACATTGAGTAACACGCAACTCACAGACTATCAGCATTATTGCACCTTGGGTAGACCCAGGCAAACAAGGAAGCTCGGAAAGAAGGGCATACATCCACCCTGTAGTCTCTGTGCGTCAAGAGTGCAGCAAAGTCCTCCAAAAAGTGGCCTTCCAAGGGTCTCCTCTCTCTCTCTTTACTGTCGGTGTGCAACAGTGGGGGCAGTGGCGACCATATTTACAGTATATAAGTGTCATCCACTCTGCAAAGGCCCCCCAAAGGATCTGTTCCGCCCAAGCCTTTGGCTTGCTCTGTGGCCCAAACAGACTGACCGAGTCGCCCACCACGCATTGATGGAGGCGAAGCCGGTAATGTGCCCTGCGCAACAAGTCATCGATGCTTTGAGGGACATCTAAATTATCCCTACATTGCATCTCTCTATCTTGTTACCAGTAGTAATGCCCTTGTTACTAGTAGCTTCTTGCTACTGATAGCGACGCACTTGTTACTAGTGGCTTTATAGAAACTTTAAACAATTGTTGTCCTTATAGAAACTTTACGGACGGTCCCGGATGGTCCTTTACTCTCATACTCTTAGCTTGTCAAAGTCCATGGCGATTCGGTCAGTGCAAATGAATACTCAATTATCACACGTCCCTAGAAATGGGCCCCTGCCCCTTGCTAGGATGAACCAGGATCCTAAGGTCTGACTCCGAACAAAGCTACCACCAGTTGACTGTGGTTGATGATTCTTGGAACTTCTTCACGTGAACCTCCTTCAAGCCTAAGATCACTGCCCAGCACTTCAAGTCAAGCTCCCGCTGATCATCCTGCGGGAATGATAGGGATGGAAAACGACGACGAACGTTCGCAAAAACTTGACAACCGACCGACATGAGAAGAATCTAAGAAGCTACTAGTAACAAAGGGCATCGCTACTAGGAGCAAGGACGCTACTAGGGGCTCCTGGCCTTACTACTAGGAGCAAGAAGCTATATACTAGTACCACCCGGAGAAGAGTCCGCCTGTTTGCCCAAGTTTGTCCAATCATGTCCAATCTGTTTCACCTTGACCGCTCAGTGCCAGATCGGAGTCCGGCGTGTCTTCTACAGCACCCTGGCATGGCCAGGTGATTGCCCTGGACCTGGCGGTGTTGGCTCATGGCTCCATGTGGTTCCATGTGGCTCCATGGCGCTTAGGCTGTACGCGGAAACGTGAGCTGGACTTCATGCTCTAGCTTACATGACGGCGTAAACATTGGGGAGGGCGAAGTATGGTTTTGTTGATGAAGGGCTTTGAAGGGACGCTACTAGTAGCTCCTGGCCTTAAAACTAGGAACAAGAAGCTACTGGTAACAAAGGGCATCGTTACTAGGAGCAAGGACACTACTAGTAAGCTTCAAGTGCCCTGACCGACTGTGGCATAGAAAAGCTCAACAGGCGGCTTAAAAGGGCTCAACAAAGGGCCAATTGTGTAAATAAACCGTTTGTAGTTTGTACTAGTACCCTCATCAAGGTGCCTTGAATCAGAGCAACCATGTCAGATTGCCCTTGTACAGTACAATGATTCCACTGATCCAAAAGGTTATGGTCTTGTTGAGATGCCCAGACTTATTGAACAGCCCTGGCCTTCTCTCAGTTTGGGATTTTAGGGGTTACAAACATCAATCCGCCAAAGCTTGAGATGATCTCCGCCGAGGTCCTTGAGGGCCCCAACACTGTGGCCAGCAGAAGCTGTAGCATGATGAACCACACCAAGCTATGGACAAAGGCCACCTGGAAAGGGAACTGTGCACACGGCCCGGGCTTCTCACCGAAGGACAAGTCGTTCAGCTGCGCTTTGGAAAAATCCTATATAAAAGTCAGAAAGGAAAGATTTTTTAAAACGAAAAAAAAATATATATATATATTGTGTGTCTCTATCCACCTATATATAAATATATATATATATAGATTATATATATACATACACATAAATATATATATATATGGTCCCCCCCCCCCAAATGTCCATATTTTTTAAAAAATTTTACTGGTATTTGCAGGGATTGTGGGGGTACCATATATATATATATATATAATCCTAAAATCCTAAGATTTCAGCACTAGTCGGAAATGGCGGACGTAAACTTTCCAGTACTTAGAGAAAATTTAAAGTTATTGAAACAATTTTCTCAAAAGTAAGAAGCAAGAAGTAAGATTCTCTAGGAGAGTTCTGTGCAATCTTACTTCTTACTTCTTACTTCTGAGAAAACTTTAAAATATTATAAGTATTGAAGTCTTCACCGTTTCTGGAGCAGCCGGTTAATCTCAAAGGCATTTTTGCATCCAAAAACCGGCTTCATGTCACGGTCTCCAATGACAAGGCGAACCTGGTCCTTAATTTGAAGGACCCAGTGACATACCTGCTCGACATGAAAGCCTTGTGGGATCGCATTAGCACCGGAGAAATTGGTGTGCATCCCACTCAGCAACCGTTGGACAGAACCACTTTGGGAACTTTGATTCACAATATTCAGCGGTCTGCCGACTTGAAGCCTACTGGCCTCAAGGGAGCATGGAACCCAAAAGCTGAAGACACCCTCATCCGCATCTTGGCGTCTCCGAAACGCTGCCGTGGAGGGGGACAAGCGTCAGCACTTGCATTGCCTCCTGTTCATCCACAAACACCTCAACAAGCACCTCAACTCATCTAAAAAAGTGTTTTTGTCGTCTTTGCATAGTTTCCACTCAACCTCCCATGGGTAGACCGCATCGCATGCCTAAGGCCATCTGCAATCAACATCATTCTGGCTCTTCTTCTACGTCTTCCTCGGAGTCATCTTCCGATTCTTCGGGGACTGGGACGGCGGAGGATGCAGAGATCAAGGGTGGTGTGGCTGATGATGAGGATGTGAAGGGTGAGGAGTCTGAGGGTGAGGAGTCTGAGATGGAAGATGTTGAGGAGTCTGAGATGGAAGATGTTGAGGATGAGGTGGGTGCGTGTGTGGAAGTCAAGGGCGGCGATGCGAACCAGGAGGATTCCGTCTCAGGGGAGACTATGCAAGGGGACTGGCTCGAAGCAGCTGTCTTCAAGCATCCAAAGTTCAAGCAGATGTCCTTTGACTTTGATGACCTTGGTCAGTCTCTGCAGAGGCTTGAAAAACATTGTGATGATATCGAGCAGCAGTTGCAGGAGAAGAAGGCAGAGATTGAACAGAAAGATCGCATGATTGCTCATTTGTCCGCCCAGGTAGCCCAGTTGCAGGGTGCAAAGTGAGAGGCACTGTCTGTAGGTCTTCACTGCTGCATTGTCTTCCTGAGGGTAAAAAATAGACCGCCTTCTTTGCGTGAGACCAGTTCTTGTTTTGACTTCAAGCCTGTACATACAAGCTGGTAGATACTGACTTCATTTCGGGGTCTCTTGCCATGTCCCATATCTGGTCTTTCCATGAGCCTTCCTGTGCATCCCGCTTGTCCACAGCCTGTTGTAGCAACTTGCTGTATCTCGCCTCGATCTGCAACGTCGTCATGTCTGGAACCGGTCTTCTAGATGATGCTATGGCCAAATATGGTGGTAAAGGCTGGCACTTGAGCATGCTTGACGCCATCACCGCTATGTCTCAAAATGAGGGGTCTATTGAGGAACCAGTTTCCTTGAAGGCATTTCTGGGTGGCGCTTGCCGGAAGGTGGACGGAATGACAAAAGTCACACAGCTATTTGATGTCCAGCTTTCTGTGCCCGAGTTCGCTCCTCTCGGCCAACTAGAAGCCGCAATGAAAGACAACCAAGTGCAGAACTTACCAGCTCAGATTCGGCCTCCCTGCAGTCTCCCTCCTGGTTGTCGCATGAGCCTCATTGTCAGGAACATGGAAGATGGAACCTTTGAGGTCCTGAAGATCTTCCACTTCGACGATTCCATTTCAGTCAAAGATGCTCGTAAGCTTTGTGTGGGCGAAGCATACGCTCCGATCTTTCGTCCAGGCCTGTGGGCAATGAAAAAGGCTATTGTGGCATTGTTGGGCCGCCTCCCCGGGTACCATGTCACTTGGTTTTCTCTGACTGAAAAACATTCTGGGCTCCGTCGAGCTCAGACATCCCACTGGGCACCTGAAGACGAAGATCTCCTTACTGGCATCAACTTCATCAATGAGAACGCGCCCGAGTGTGACTCCAAGAATGAACAATATTTCTGGATCCTGCGCAATATCAGAGAGAATTCCGGAACACCGATAGCAGGCTGGCTGGAAGCGAAAGTTCGCATCATGGCGCAGAACAAATCCAAAGGATCATCAGGAGCACCACTGGAGCACCAATTTCCTTTGGTGACGAATTCCTTGAAGCCGTTCCTTGCGCAGACGCTTCTGCCTATACTATATCCACTGATGCTCAACTTTGCATTCATGTTTCTTGGCTGGCCTGGGGTTGGCAAAACCCCAGCCATCATTGTCATGATGCTCGCCTTGGGCAGGTACCATCATTCTCGTCTTGACCTCTCAACACCACCAGGCTGGCGAAGGGCTAAGTCTTTAGACAACTTCAAACATCGGGTCGGCCAGATCCATGAAGGAGTTTTCCTTGATGACCCAAGCCGAGACAAAATTGAGCTGGCCGACTTGAAGTCCTTTGTCACCGCTGAGGAAAGTCAAACGTGTCATGGCAGGTATACCGACGTGAAGCTGGCGAAGAATTGCTGCAGAGCCTATGCCACTAACGACATCCAGGAAGAAGATGAACCTAAAAATGATGATCGTATCTCCATCACCACTCCGGAGTTCCTCAAATTAGTTCGGCGGACCTTTCCAGGAGATAGGCCTGCAGATGTCTTTGCCGTTTTGAAGCGGTCAGTCGTTTGGATCTTCGGACTTCACGCTCTCTACTTGCGACTTCCAAGTGAGCAAGAAGATGCCCCCACCCATCGTATCCAGGTGAATGATTTACACAGGGACCTGCTGGCTGAGGATCACAAGGTGTACTATGGCAAGTACAAAAGCGGTTGGATGGAAAGGCCTCCAGATTTTGAGGCTCTAGTCGCCGAGGAGCAGGATCTAGTTGAGACTGCCATGGAGGAGTACAAGCAACACACAAAGCCACAGGACTACTTGAAGAAGGCCAACTCTGACTTGGAAGAAGTGCTTCTTCGCAACCGAGCCTTGCCAGAACTTTGGGTATCGTCGCTCCACACTTCACCGAGCCAAGATGACAGTCCAGTACTGCCGCCTGTGCCAACTACAGTACCCAAGCACAATGTCTTGCCCAAGCGCTTGGGCACCTTCAGCTTCCCTGCTCCCACGAAACGAGCGCTGAGGCAAAACGCAGCCTGAGAAGATGTCTGTCACCATCTACCCAGTCCAAGACCCAGGAGTGGAAACACAGATGGACACCTCGACTGAGGCTGACGAAGAGGCGGCTCGAGCCATGGGACTTGAGGACTGATGACAGTGTCTGCCTAAACGCAATGAATGGGATATTGTGTTGGTGCAGCCTGCAGCTTCTCTTGCGCAGTTTCAAAAAGTGGACGCTTTCAACTTGTTTCCTTATCGGTTGTTTGCCAGTTGATCCTACAGCAAAGGTAGTAGCCACGCCATGTACATGTACCATGATACCGCATGTTGCAATGTTTTTCAAACTAGCCGTAGTTCTCAAAGCAGCGTGCAGCACCTCGGGTCATAGGTCATAGTCACACGTTGTGCTGCCGAGCCTCCATGTCACGCCTTCCACCACTTGCTGACGGACGGGACAGTGAACGTCAACTACATCCTCCTCTTCTCAGCCCCAGGTCAAGGTTGAAGAAAAGACAGAGCGCATACGACTCCCTCGTGGCCTGTCACTATGAGCTTTTGGATTGCTACCCAGACCTTTGGATCATTCTTCCGCAAGCGGGTGATGCATATTCAAAACGAGGCTGGGAGCAAGCTTGCTTCAAAACTAGAGAGCTTTTGCGAGTCCTACAAGAATGCCAAGACAGTGGAAACAGAGTGGCTTGCCGCAACTTCATCCTAACAACCTACGACAATTTCTTCCAGATGAATGCGCATTACCGGCAGCTTCTCCTTGACCCAGCTGATGACATTTTGGATTCTGAGTGGCTTGCATCTGAGATTGGAGTGCTTGCTTTGCTCAGCCTCGTCTGTCCTGCAACAGTCAGGTAGGCGCCTTTCAAGATCGCCGCGTAGAAAAAAGTATGCACACTAAGCGTTCTCTCGAAGTCTATGGCATACATGGTTGAACCTCTTGCTTTGCATGGTTGAAGAGTGCTCACGCATGTCTGCCACCATGTCACATGACTATGTGCTTCGAGATTGTCTCGATTTCCTGTCAACGCTTTTCTGTCTGGCTGCAGCTTTGTCGCTCAGTGCTTGTTATAAACTTTAGTCCGGCCATTGGCAGTCCCAGGCCGAAACTTCCTTGCATCATGGCGCGGCAGTTCAACCCTTTTCCAGATCCCAAGAAAGGGAAAGGGCGCATGGCGCTGAAGCGCCCAGCTTCTGCGAAGACACCTGCTTGGAAGAAGGTTGCCTATGTCAGGGGTGTGCCCACAGTGCCGCCGCGTGGTGTTCGTAGAGAGCAAACTCATTGGAAGCGCACTATGACTCAGTTGCTTTCCCGCTCTGACACCCAGATTGTCAAGACCCTGATCGAAGACAAGCTGCTGCCGGATTGGTCAGGGAAGTTGTGCCCCAAATGTAACAAAGGCATCCTGTCGTCTTTGAAAGTCCACTGTGGTGACAAGACGCCCAAGTATCGATGCTCTCACTACAAGTGCCACCAACGGGTTCATCCACAACATCTACAT